AAATCAAAAATAAACCTCAAAACTTTAAAAATTAATTTCTCAATAACTATCTCATCAAATTGAGTCAAATTTTTTGCCACTATTACAGAATTTATTGAATTTTAATATATTAATTTTTAGAAGCTTTAGCTTTAAGCCTTAACAATATATTTGAATTAAATTAAATTTTTAATTTTTTTGGAACCAAAATTTAGCTCTCATCCAAATTTTTTTCTTGTGATTATAAAATCTTCAAAACACATACATGATCTAGAATATGTAGGTACTAACTTTTCTGAAAGTTTCAAAATCGTAGCACCTCTCCATGAGGAGATATAGGTGTGGGAAAACTTTTATCGGGCACTATAGTTACAAATACTAAAATGCTTCTAGGCCAATTTTAATGGTTTAACTGCTATTCTAATCACACAATACTTCTCTACAACTTTACTTAGAAGTTAAAAGAAGGTTTGTTTAGTAAAAAAAAAGTTTTCTTTGAAAAACTTCAAATTTCAAAGACAAGATTCGTGTTTGGGATTTGTGTTTGGTATTTGTGTTTGGGATTTGAGATCTGGGTCTTGGGTTTGGGTTTTGGGTAGGATTTAAGATTGAAATTTGGGATGAGTTTGGGATTTGGGATGAGTTTGGGATTTGGAATGGGTTTGGGATTTGGGATTTGGATATGAGATTTGTCTAGTTTGGGATTTGGGGGGTTTATCGAATTGGGATTTGGGTTTGAGTGGGATTTTGAAGATTTTTAGTTTGTCAACATGTATACCTATAGGTCTTGTATTTGTGCCAAATATCTGTTTCAAATCAGGTTCATATTAGGATTTTGTGATGCCAATTTGAACTCAATTTGTCTTATTTTGAACTGTGTTACAATGTATGAAAAATTCTATCTATAATGTGCAGTACATATTATTGTTCTTCATTATATTCTTTATTACATTGCTTTGTTAGTTTAGAGTTTTCTTGTCTTTTCTGATCTTTTACATATTACAGTCATATCTCTTTATAATCACACTTTTGGGACCATAAGAACTTTTTTAAAAAACATTCTTGTAAAGAGGTGTGCTTATATAGAGGTCTTTTGTTATATATTAAATAGTAATTGAGCTTAAATATAGGTGTGATTATAAAAAGGTTTTATATAATGTGATTATATAGAGGGTGAATATAAAGAGGTATGACTGTATTTAATTAAACAGCTTACATCAACTGAACTTCTAAATGCACATACTGTATATGTACATACGCACGTAAAAAACATGATCATATGGGGTGCCATTAGAAACAAACAAATTGTTTATAAGTAAATTTTTTTAAACCTTTAAAATAAAATATCTCAATAACTAGAATTAAAAAAAAATTTATCAAGTTTAGTTTAATACTTCTTGAGATATTTTGATTTAAAATTTTTAAAATACACACTAAAAACAATTTGCTTGGTTTCTACTGGCAGCCCCCATATTCTAACAGCATACAATGTAACGCTTGACTAGTGCAAATTAAACAACAGGTGATAGATCGAATCACGCAGACCAATCGGATCTAAGATTTTGCGGTCTAACGCCAATTTCGATCGCCGTATAACCATAAACTACTTGATTTCATCACTCCGTTCCTGGTATATAGGCTTGATTTAGGTTACATATAAGTTACATATAAGTTATATACAAGATGCTGATATTTTATTATATAATATTTTTGATTTTAACTACGCAATCATGCGCTTGATGCACTCAGAATGGCAAAATTACATCATGCCAACAAGAATTTCTTCTGTTTATCATCATGATTATCATTTTATGTAATGCGCACGCATGATTGCACGCATGATTGCACGCATGCGTTGCTGGAGTATTTAATGCGTATCTAAATAACAGACGTAGTGCAAGTGTATATTGAATCAATTATTTTTTATAATTAACGCGACGTAGTGGTAAAGTAAATAGTAAAAGCATATGGGATCTTCGCTAGGAAAATCACCCTTCGGCATTTTCCGATCGGGCTAATAATGATTCGACAGTTTATTTAATAAATTATCGAATAAAAAGCAAAAGGAAAGTTGATTTACATATTAATAAGAACTGACATTCTGGTCCAAGATTTTCCGAATTAGTCCGATCGGAAAAACCGAAGGGTGATTTTCCTAGCAAAGATCCCATATAATTTAGATACAATAGCTATTGAACAAGCAAACCCACACAAATAAAAATTTACGGGTAGTTTCAACCCAGCGATATTTTCGTGATTATCACATCACATGATTAAGTGTTCGACCTAAGTTAGGGTTAGTGTTAGGATTAGGTGATAGAATAACTTAGGCTAATTTTTAGTGCTAGTAAACAAATGTATGATTTCACATGTGTGATGTGATCACTGGGTCCTTGTGTTCTTGAAGTGTCCCAAAAATTAAATTTATCAAGTAGTGTTCTTTTTAAAGTAAAAACGCCTTTTTTAAAAATTTATTTTTATTGCTTAAAGCATAGTGTGCCATCGGTTGGGAGAGAGATTATGTTAATCCAATTTAGCTCCGATGCTTCACTTGATCTGGGATTTATAACGTGATATGATGTCACGAAACACTTAAGTGGGGTCGGGGTTATTACTTAAACAGATCAAACTTTAATTATCGGGATAATTTATTATGTAACAATAGAATAAGAAATGCAATATGATAATAGTAATAATAAAGAATAATACAACAATAATAAATACTCTCTAAATGCACGCCCTTGGGAACACTTTCATAACGTGCATATAAAGAATAATAAGTAAAAGTGCATTTATGGAGGTTAAGTATATATTTGGGCCGGCGCTTGAGCGTGACTGTACAACACATATGAGAATCCAAAACTAAGACATCGCAGGTTCTAAGGAAACTTTACTAAGGCGGAAACTCGGGCCTTAAATACCTTTCAATTCATTATGAGCTACTGCGCTGTCTTTTAATCTTGTCTTTATCTTCTCATCGGTTATGAGTATCCCGCGTTAGGATAGCCACCAAATATTGTTCACAATCATTGCTTCAAGTATTTATCACAATGGTTGATCCAAATATTTAAAATATTAGCACAATTCCGCTCACACATCATTCGATTGCTTCTATATAATGCTTATCATATGGTGGGAGTAACTAACCACCAGAATTGATCTTTATCTCTTTGGCCTTCAACCGCCACCTAGGAACCTCACAATATTCTTTCATTTGGGCGTTTAGTATCACCAAGTTACGTCCAGCTTTAAAACTTTAAACCATAACAATAGCGATTGATGATTTTTAACAAAAACATCAAACCGTAACTTTAAATCTTTTATCGATCACTATTGCACAATACGAGTAGATAAAAAAGTTTTAAAGCTACGTTTTTTGTTATTTTTATTTAAAAAAAAAAACAACCATTTTCACGAAAATTGAATTCTTGACTATGCATCAAACAATGCATTGCGGTTGCCATCTCTAAATATGATTCCTAGAATCTGAAAGTCCTCATGAAATCCGGAAATCTCTGAGTGCGCCTAAATCCCTTTACTAATTTCTTGGCCTTTTAAATTATAGTAACTAGGAAAATAGAAACTATTTGAAGTCCGAAGGACTAAATATAAAAAAATTAAACTGATTTTTTTTTAGTACACCGTATCTAGCCAATAAGCATCGACCACCTACTGTTTTGATTGTTTCTCTTTCATGTTACACCTGATCTAGCCAATCAAAATTCAGAATTTGTTAACATACAGACATCGGGTGTACTATTGCTCTACCTGTAGTGTCCTTCGGACAATTAATCACCACAAACACTTAATACGTATATACAATTCATGAATTATTCAATATAGCGCCTAAAATAACATATAATTTAATCTTTAATTCAATGATGAAAATAGGATTATGCCCTAATGCAATTTAGCACAATATTTATGAATAAAAAGTATTTACGTTTTATTGATTTTTCTTAATCGATCAATGCCTTTTTTATTTCTTATTCTGGTGCTAGGCTTTCTATGTATGAACTAAACAAATCTTTATAACTGTTTAGATAAAATTATCAAATGAACTGCTCCCACGTGTAGATTAAAAATTTTAATATATACGTATTTTCTTAGTTAAAACAAACTGAGATAGAAAATATAATCATAGTTTATCGTCTTTTATTTAATAATGTTAACCAAAAAAAATATTATTTCCTTTACATTATTGTTACTACTATGCTTGCCCTTTGAATTAAATGCGCGATTCCTCCATACCAATAGAAATTATTATATTTCATTAGGTGATTCATATGCAGCGGGTGTTGAAATTACTGGACCTTCTCCTGAAAAATATACTACTTCAGCTTATTCATATGTAGATGCTTTATATGATCTGTTAAAAGCGAAATACAAAAATCTTGAATTGATAAAATTGGGAATTAGTGGTAAAACAAGTGATGGCCTTATTAATGATGAATTAACAAATTTTATGAAATCCCATTATGGATTAACAAAATTTATTACAATTACTATTGGAACTAATGATATGCATATCTGCAAAAATGATGCCAGCGAATGTTTTAATAAAGCTCTTAATAATTTAACTAATAATTTAAAGAATATTATAATTCCACAGTTGAAGGAAGCAGGCGGTGAGAATGTACATTACATGGCTTCCACATACTATCTGAATCCTTTGTTAGATGATAGATTAATCGATATTTACAGTAAGAATGGGTTTAAGGTAGTGGATCTCAGAACTATTATTACAGACTATACTAGATGTAGTTACACTTATACGTGCACGCATAATAATAGTCATCCAAATGAAGATGGCAGTTATGCAATTGGTAAAGCTTTCTATGAGATAATTTGAAGGGTTTTCTTAGTTAGTGATTGCGAATAAATAATCATAACTTAGAGGTCATTTCCCCGACAACCAATTCCCCGACACTTAATTCCCCCGACACTCAAATTACCGAAATATCATTTCACCTACATTTATTTCGCCGACAATTATTTTACCTACAAATTATTTCACTGACAGTCATTTCACCGACAGTTATTTTGCCGAAAGTCATTTTGTCGACAATCATTTTGCCGACAATTATTTCACCAAAAATAATTATTTATTACACTTCCGAATTTTAAAATTATATCCGTAAGGCCATATAAAGTTAATTTTTTGGTTCTCATAACGTAAAATAAAAAAATGACCTGCTCTCCCGGACTTTTATTCAAAATTTTTTAGATAATAAAATTAAAATTTTATTTTTATAAAGTTATGATCTGTATAAGGCCAGGCAAAATTGATTTTTTGGTTCTCATAACCTGGCCGAGTCATTGAGTTCGGGAAGAAGAATTAAATTTTATGAAGCACAGTATTTAAGCTGGCCAATCAAATTTGAGCATACTTAATACCGATATTTTGAATTGAAGTAGAATTTCATTGAAAAAGAACACCATGCTGACTCATGTTCTAATAAACTTGAATCAGAAGGTGAAAGGCCTTAGCAAGCATATCTTGCAAGATGCACTTACAAGAACTTTCCTGGCTTCTTTGAGTTTTATAATATGAACTCAAATCAGAAGAATGAAATGCAGTAATCGATGCACTTTGTAGAAACAATCCCTGAAAGAATTAAATCTTTAAGATATTATCCGATATTATATAATAAATATTAAATTTAATTACTTATTTTATATTAATTATTTGTAATAAGTATTAAAATTAATTACTTATTTAATATTAAATTATTATAGTATATAATAAGTATTAAAATTAATTACTTATTTAATACTTATTATTATTGTATATAATAAATATTAAACTAAACAACTCTTTCCAACAATCACTTGAACCAAATTTTGCTGAAAAAACTTTTTAACAAAAACAGTAGAAACTGGCTAGCCAAACTATATAAAACGTGAAAAAAGAACAGTAAGTTAGCACCTGTCGTTTAGAGGTAGTTCTCATATGCTATCTGCCGACAAGCTCAGGGTTTATCACTCACCGACAAAAAATGAGTAGTGCAGTTTTGGCTAGAAAGAAGACTATTTTTGTTGTTTTTAGTAACTTACTTTTCTTTAAATGGTATCAAAAGGTCTTTCTCTCTGTGTCGTTTTGTGCCGGTCCTACCAAAATTTTTTTGACAAAAAGTGAGCATTTTGGCTTACCCCCTCCAAAGATCGGCATTGTTTACATCTACCAAATCAGGATGAACTCAGTAGAAGGCAACCACGTGTTTTGTTGTTTTGCGAATACAGTGCTATGGTACAGGGAAGAAATCGTTACTTCCATTTAGGAGATACCCGAGTCAAGTTAGTGACCGGAAAGAGTCCCAAAGCTAAACCATCAGTTTACAATCCAGATATAGTAATTAGTTGCAATTATTATATAATTTTTATTCTTATGTCTGGCATGGGCTATAATAGTGTGTCATGGCTATCTTTCTTTTTTGTTCACTTTTTCATCTTTGTTTATTTATTTTAGAATTTGTTAAAAAGTTTTTTTTTCCACCATGAGGTGTTTTTTTTTCTAAAATGTTTATATCTTTCGTAAACATGGCTTCATTTTTTTCACTTTTATGTATGAATAAGGGTTTTAATTATTATTGTCGTGCTTAGGTAGAAGAAGTCTGAAAGAAGGGAAAGGTGGTCATGATAGGCAGCAAGGTCCACTATTGAGAGCCGGGTCCTATCCAATTGCAGGAGGGGTTTAGAAGGAGAGAAATCTTGCTATAGCAGGTCGAATATAGGTGCCAAGTTGGTAGCCGGTTTAGTCTTAATTTGTAATTTAGATAACAATATGGGCTATGGTGCTTGTCATTTAAAAATAGTTCTCATACACTATCTGCTGACAAGTTTAGAGTTTATCACTTATCTTCTAAAATGCCTAGTTATAAAATTTTACATATTCTAGAGGAATTATACAAAGCCTAATAAAGCTAAGGCATGACTGCATCAGAAGAAATTTTTTAGTACTGTTCTGTGCAGATTTGCAAAAAAATTAAATAATAAATTAAATAAAAATCTGTGCAAAACTTCAGACTCACCAGCT